AGGGACCGGTGGAGGGCTTTGGTTAGTTCGGTGATGAACCTTCGAGTACCGTAAGGCATCTAGTTAGTTAGGTAGGTAGGTAGCCAGTTAGAAACAGCGAAACCAAATCACTGATTAAACGGAAGTGATATTTTTCATATGCATCCTCCGTGTTTCCACATCATCTGCTTACAAGTGCAACCCAGATGGTTTAAGTAACCCGGAGGTTCATCACCGAATTAACCAAAGCCCTCCACCGGTCTCCTTACTTCTCTTGTAACGAAGAGTCGGCTACAAATAGCATGAACAGGAAAACCACCCAAAGCAACATCGACTGTTTATTCGTCAATGATTTAAACGACGACATACCAACTGCAGCAGCTGCTCATTACTTGAATAACGGTATCAGAATTTCATACGTGTGAACTGAAGGAAACCAGAGACATCGTAAGGTGATATAACATCAGATGTGGTCAGTTGCCCCTCTGACAGTTGCCCTGTTTGTTTGCAGTACCGCGAGTTGAGAGCCGTCACCTGGGGAGATATTCACAGCCCTTACTCCGGCTCTGGACATCAAAAGTGCTTCTACGCCGGCAGTTTGCTGGACGACTTCTTCAGGTACCTGCGAATGGCCCGCCATTGTTCAAACCCCTATTGGTTAATCACCTTCGTACCATACACAAACGGCATTGACAAACTGCGTGATCGGTGCTTGATATTCAAGAACCACTTCGAGGAAAGAACTGAGAAATTTAAACGCGATTATTCCATCTCTGGGGCAAAGCTTATTGACCTTTGCCATCGCTTGATGCGGAGACAGGTCAGGATGACCCCACATGAACAGGCGGTGACAGTCAATGGAACGGAATGCTACATCAACCTTCCATATAGGTAAGGAAAGGCACAATAACTTGGGGCCCCGCGATAGGGAAATCCTTTTCTCAGTAAATAACACGCCACCTCGCCATCTTCAGTTTCTATTGCGAATTAACAACACTGTGCATACAGAATATTGGTTTGGAATCCTTCTGGAAAAAGACCACTGGGCAGACCAGGAAGGAGATGAGAGGATAATATCAAGATGGATCGAAGGGAGGTGGGCTGTGATGATGGAAAATGGACGAATTTGGCGCAGGATCGTGGCCGGTGGCGGGCTTCGGTGTCGTCGGCGTTGGACCTGCGGGTTCTGCTACCGGGGATTTAGTTACTAAGTAGGTCTCCACAGACCGCAGCGGTAGTGTGTTCACAATGCGTGGCTGACCTGAGAGCGCCCGCAAAGTAGGTCCAACGCACTGTGGCTGTTCGATTGTATTCGTACACTTGCAGTTTGGAATGATTTTGCAAAACACTTTTGAGAGTATTCGTTTCAGTGTCAGGTCCAATGGCGAAGTCAGAATACTGAAGCTACTCAGAGTCGCTTGTAAAATGCTCCGCTACTGAACTGGAGCCCCTAAACAGGCCTGAAGTATACTCACGATATTTTTGGATGCTTGGTACCATCTTCTGTGTTCAAAGTGGAAGAAAAGCACAAAAAGGAAGTCTTAAATGTTTTACAGTAAAAATGCGTCTTTCTCGCCGTGCTATAAATTATTGTTCA